TTAGAACGAGGTCAGGTTGAAGAATACAATGTAACTGTTTTCACGAGTACACTCGCAGGTGGACATCACGTGATGAATTGTAATATTTAACAGGTCAACCGAAGTTAATCAAGGTTAACTCAGTCATAACAATGGAAACGAGAAGTTTGTTTTGAACATGTTTTTGTTAAATTAAGTGTGAGCGCACGTTTGTCGGCTCTTCTCCTTTTAATATGACATTATTTTGTTCAATATACAACTACAGTTTTCTTAAGAACAGCCGACAAACATGCGCTGACTATGTATTCAGACGATGAAAAACGCGTGACCCTGATTATCTATTGATATTCAAGAAATCTTTAGGCACCATGCCTTCGATATTTATTTAGTTTACCTCGAAAAGAGCGTTTTAAATTCACATCTGTACCATGGATACACGGTTAAGATATCGGGGATTTATATGATGGAAAGAAATAAACATTTTATGAAACTTTAATTTACGGCATTTTTTCTGGCCAGTTAAGTCCACTCATTCTTTGTTTTCAGTTTTTTTTACAAACAAGCCTACGATGTGTCCTTTCAAGATCATTTTATTTTTTTTTAAATTATCACAAACCGTTATTCGGTTAGAGGTGTCGAAAAATGGGGAGTTTTCTTTAAAAATTACAAATTTAGACGTGATAACGTCATCACGGCGTTACTGATTTTAACGTTACGTTAAAAGAAAATTGTAAATTCTGAACCGGAATTCGAAACTATTTACTTGAATCTGCCTTCTGTTCCAGAAAACAATTTTGAACTTTTATTTCAATTCATCGTACATGTGTCTTTGATAGCTGGAAGGAGTATTATAATTATGTAGGAAAATATAATTTTATTACAAACTATTTCATCAGACAAGTAATGAAGCTTCATCCATACAGACGAGACAAGATACGTACTTCTTTTAAAATTTGTATCATATGCGTGTATCAAATTTATAAATTTTTTTCATGTAAAAATTTCCTAATGATTTCTTTAACCATTTTTTGCATTGTCTATGAAGTTACATTTAAAATTTTAGAGATACATGAATCAATTAAAACGCGAAATGGAACGTTCTATATAAAATTGTCAAAATTGGATTTTTGGCTATCAATACCCCCCCCCCCTTTCCATTCCAACAAATGGCAACGCTATTAATTTCGTATCTTCTATTGATAAATGTATAAATTATACTCACTATTCCGGGGTTATTAGACTGGTGTCTGTTAAACTGCGTTATTATTATTATTATTATTTCTTTTGATGTTAGGATTTCTTTTATAGATCGTTATTTATTCATTCCAGTGGTTTCGCTTTACTTCATCATGTTCATGGTTCATGTCAAATGCACTAATCAGGAATAATCCCCAGTATACTTACACACATTCACTTTCTACGTTAAAACCACAAGGGGAGACCGGTTATAAGATGTAACTTAAGGAGTCCTGATTGATGGGTCCATTCCAAGTTTTTTTCTTTGTTTAGCATCCACCCTAAATTCGAAAACCTATCTTCCTATCCGAGAAAACACACAAGCCAAAAGGGGAAAAACACAACATTTTCAGAACAGTTCTAGAATTTCTTATTATCATTTGAGACCTCTCCTCGCAATAAAACTAGGTTTTAAGCTATACTACTTTATTGAAATAAAAAATTAATACACCACTTAAAAAAGAGAGATGTCAATCCCAAAAGAGTAAAATGCATATCAGAGATTGTATTTGTTGATTTTAATTTGAGTTAACTTTGTGTTTGCGTTTCAAAGGTTTTAATTTGTGTTTGTTTTTAATTTCATAACCTCAAAACCAATCCGTCCGCATACGCTGATCATAGAAAAAAACTTGGAACGGCCTCATCATAACTTGCGTGACAGACCTTGAAAAATTTTGCTTCAAATTAAAACCGTGAATCTCCGAAGGCTTTTAAACAAAGAGTGTGAGATTTGTTTAGATCCATTTCTCGATGAACAAAATGTTTTATTTCGCCAATACTAATAATTTAATTTTAGAGACAAACACGCTACTTTGCATGTACATACTTATTATTTGATTAACAAACCCAGAAATTATATGCCTAAATCTGCGTAGTGAATTCGACAGAAAATACACACGAATTCTCGGTAAGGGATTCAGAAGTGTGTAGTGTAGTACACTCTAGCGGACATAATTCCCTAAAAGTAAAAATTAAAAAAAAAATAAGGATATAATATTGTGTGTGTGATTTACATGTAGAGTTTATCCACGTCAGCTATGAAAATCGCCGTGTGTCGTCTTCAAAGCAATGCAGCATGAAGCGGCAGCCACTTGCATTGATAACGGTCAGTAAAAGATCGATCAACAGTTACAGTCGAGTGGAGAGCCACGGAAAATTGGAAAGGGATGTATTTAGTTTTAAATCAAATTCTTGATATAATTTTTTTTATTGGTACTCATTCATGTTACAGTAAATTCATGTATAACTTGATTATCAGTAACAACCCCCACAATCACAACCTCACCCCCCACTTCTATTTACATGGAGACAAAATACAAATAACCGGAATGCAGAATAACAGAACACTCACATAAAAGAATCAAAATTCACTTTCACGTCCCTTTTGATAAGCTACATAGAGACTTTATTTCTAGTTCATTTATCCAATTGTACGAAATCTGTTGTTATTTTGTTAAATTACTTGTAGGAACAATACAAAACACATCACGATGTATCCTTGCCATTCCTGGATTATATCACTTGCTTGTGATTATGTTTCTTTTTCATGTTAGTGTCTGATTTAAAAAAAAATCTTTAAAAATATACCTAACAAACCGCTGACATGTATAACGTGACTATACATCTACTACACTGTACGACAAAAACTGCATGATTTGGCTTTAGAACTCCTGTATGGGCTTATTGTTACGTAACCGTAGGTAAGATATTTGATATATTTCATGCAGTGACGATAATAATTTTATCACTTCCTTTGGATATAATGTCATATTAACTCTCTGGGGGCATTTCCTTCGCAAATCTGTGCATTTGCCCTTGTAGTAACGATAAAATACTTTTAATATTTTTTTTTTTCTGGAATGGATTATCATTATAGAAGGACGTTGAAATCTTTAAAATTCAGAGATAATGTGCACCGTTTTCACAAAGGTGATATTGGGCAGGACCCCCCCCCCTCCTCTCTCCTCCAGCCATTCGAATACTGAACATATTTCCATTCCTATGACATACTTAATGTATTGTTTCAAGCACTTCCTGATTATGCGATAAAACACTAATATCCTTTCTGACATAATTAATTTTGTCAAATAAAAATCTGCATAAATTAATACAGTGACAAGGATAACAAATTTTGAAGAAAAAAATGTTTAACTGGCGACTGCTATACGCCAAGCTTCCCATCCACACCCCCCCCCCCCTTACCCGCCCCGATCACTAGCTATTGTCTTTTGAAATTTATGAATCCCAGACATATATAAATTGAAAACGAATAAAACATACTTAAGAAAGATGATGATTTTCAATAAAAAGGTACAAAAAAAATCTTTTCTTGAACACTCAAATAAAGTCAATGTGCACTATGAAGGAAATGCGCGTTTTAATTGGAGGTACATGTATGTAATTAAATGTACATTAATCGTCTGAACCATCCCAACTTATTTCGTTATTACCTTTTTACGCTGTAAATATTGATTGAATATTTAATATAGTTGCGAAGACTGAAGAATTTGTTTCAAGTACATATTTTCAATATGATTGCTCTTTGTGATGTCATTTTTTTCAATGCATTGCGTCATTAATTTACATAATAAATTTCACTGAGAAAGGTTTATCTGGTTTTTGTATGCATAAATTATATTAAATTATTTTTCAAATGCAGAATTGAATTTAAAGGACAATAAGAAGATAATAAAACCTTGGAATACAGAATTAAGCAATTAATTTCTTTAAAAGTATAGATTTATTGTGGAGAAAAAGTGACGTCTATCCAAAATTGCAGCATTTTCAACTTTAATTTTTTGTAAAAACGGATGTAGCTGCACTTTGGTAAGGTCATTTTTTCTCTTTTAATATTAGAAATCGTGTTATATTTGTTCTTTCTGTGAAGTTTCGCATACATACTCGGATGCGGCCATATCGAAATATAGACTTGAAGAGGAGGAAAACGTCCAAAATAAGGGAATTCCGGAATATAAGACCGGTTTTAAACGTTATATAAATGAAAGGGCGCATGGGTTGAGAAAAATTGTTACCCATTTCACACACAGGGAAACCTCAACAGTAACTTGATACATTTGATAAAATGTAAGCTTGCGTTTAATTTTTGCCCATTTTACAGGGCCGATTATTGGGCTTACCGTATCCAGTTCTTTGCAACATATACCTTCCCAAACATATTTCTCTACATTGATTACGTAGAGATAATAGTACATGTACATGTACTGTAAGTACTGTATATTCCTTAAGACAACCATTGTCGTTTATCAGTCAGCAAACACCACTAAGCATAACACCTGTAAAAATTTCTTGAGCAGTGGCTGCTCCATCAAATGAACGTACAATGAGATACATACCAATAATATAATATTTAATCTACTTAATCCCACTTTAGATGATCATTTGTACAGATATAAATATAAATAATAAAATGCTTTGTTTGTTAGTATGGGAATTAACATTGCAGCTATCGCAGAAAGAAATTTCATAACCAGCTTATACGCGGATTAAGTATTTTTTCTGCAGCAGCTGCAACTTTAATTCCCATACTAACAACCAAGGAAAGCATTTTATTGTTTAATTAAATACTGAAAAGACTATGAGGGGGAATGTATTAATTGTTTACATCATATTATGATTTCTTTATCAATTAATATGCATGTTTCATTGAATAGTTGTTTGTTGTGCTCAAATCAAAGTATCCAATAATTATGAAGTTGTAGTAGAAGAAGAACGCTTTGGGTAAAAAAAAAATGGATATACCGTTAATGACTTCTTTGTAGGCGAAGAAAGAGCAAAAAGATTTATTGAGAACTCATTGAAATCATCAATGTTGGAACTGGATGAAATGATAAACCAAGCAAATTCTGGATTAGAGGTATATTATTTTATATTCTTCAATCTGAAGTACATAATACTTAAGATTGTGGTTTTCCAACTTTAAAAATAAAGTCAAAGTTTACCTCAGCGTAAGATAGATATATGAACTCCTATTGTTTATGGATGTATATGACTTTTATCCAACGATCCTTGACAGTGGAATAGAATACATACAACGGGTTGAATAAAAGTGGTATCCAATCACAAACCATGGGAGATTCTATATATTGCATGTTTAACATATACACGAAGCTATCACATTTTTTAAGGTTTTATATATGAACCCCCATCAAGCCAATGCGACGTCAGAACTGTAGTTATGAAAACGATATCATATAACAAATACATGTATTACCAAATTTATGTGTTTTTATTTATTTAAGGAATAACTGTCTTATTTTTTGGATTCATGATGTGATCAATCGAGTGGCTTGCGTGATAATTTGCATAAACGCCGAAGGCGTTTATGCATAAAATTATCACGCAAGCCAATCGATTGATCATCGTCATGAATCCAAAAAATCTGACAGTTATTCCTTATATTTACATGCTCCTGATTCTGCAAATTCCCGTGCTAACAGCCCCGCTTCTGTCTCTATTTGTCCCGCCCCGCACGTGATTTTTTTTAACCGCGCCTATCGATGAACCAGTAGATTTATGTAGAAATAAAGTATTTTTACAATTTGTAATTTTATCTCGGACAAAGACATTGGAAATGTAAATATAACGACAATAAAGATCATTTTTGTGCTTGAAAGGCCTCCAAACGAAGCATGGAAAATATGGACACGATTGATGGGGATGTCAAATTAGACAAACATTCTGCAGAAGAATTTAAAGAAACCCCCAATATCTGAAGATTGACAACAACGGAACGGAGTCAAACGTAAGTATATACACTGTATATATATATATATATATATATATATATATATATATATATATATATATATATAGTAAACTTCTTTTACAATGTACTCGCTTATAAAGTATCTCCGGATGTAAAGTAGCCATTCCGTATCCCGGCAAAGTGTCTATATATTTCATTGGAAAAAAAACCCGCTTACAACGTATTTGTGTATAACGTAGTATCGATTATAAAGTATTAAATATTTAGTCCCGTTACATACATGTAATTACACCTCTTATAACGTATTCTGATACCTGTCTGACACCTGGTTTCACACCTTTTCAATCAGCTCGAAGACCTGGTGACTGCAAATTAGTCACGCTTTGTTGACTTCATAGCTGCTCCATAATGAGCTTTTTTCTAACGAGGTTTCTTTGTTGTTTTAGGTTTACGTATAATAAATTGTTTGAATGAAGTTCATCTTTGAGTCAGTAAGAATAATTTAGAATAGCAATATCACCAAATATGACATAATTAAATAATTTAATTTTGTTTGTATGCTAGCCTCTGATTGGTTAATATCCAAAAAGGAATACAAATTATTTCTGTATAACCTGGTTTGATATGGGGACCCCCCCCCCCCCCCCATGACAACCAGCTGAATCATCTGTATCCATAAAATTCTCTCATTTCCAGTCCTTGGGATTAATGGAAAATTCCAGATTTAATAAATGCACCTTTAACTTAACAATAATTCGATCTTACCACATGTAAACAAACAACAACGCTGCTAGGCCTATGCATCAGTTTTTACCTCCCCTCGCTTCCCATCACTTCCGTTACTTCCGTTACTAAGGTTGTATTATTGAGCGGCAAATTTGAACTAATAAAAAGCAACGAAATTTTACACCCTTAGTTATTTAATGATTTTAAAATTAAATTATAAGGAATGACTCTAATTCTTGGCCAAATTATTCGAGTATAACCTGGTTTAGGTCAGTTTACGCTGTTTTATAATCCGCTTCGCGGATTATAAAGCGTAAACTGACCCAAACCAGGTTAATTGAAAGAAAGATACAGTGATTCAATATCAGTAGACCGCGACGACAGCGAGGAACGAGGCCGTTCCTGACACGTGTGTACCATCTACCCAGACGATCAAAGGGCATTAGTCCGAAATTAAAACTTAAGTAAACTCGTTTGAAGGTATGGAAGACAGTGATTTTTCCGTTCTGGCAACTCTGGAAAACTTTGTAAATAAATGTCGTAAGGCCAAACAGAAAAACATTACGGACTTTTTAAAATGAACTTACGATTATCGAATTTGTACAGTTCTTAGTGATTTTGAAATAATTTTATAGTTTATGAAATTAAAATGTTATTGATCATTAATCTTTCTTAATATAAGAAATGAAACCATATATACCTGTAAGTCATTTATTTACATATTCTACATACTTTAAAATATTGAATAACACACTAGCGGTTTGAAATGTGTTTACGGTACAGGTGTACTGAGTACCTCCGGTCTCCGTTTATAACGTACACCGGTTATAACGTAGGATTTTTCACAGTCCCCTGAGATACGTTATAAAAGATCTTTACTGTATATATATATATATTATACA